CATTGGGATTGGGAGTTTGAGTTATGGATGAAATGTTGATGGCGGCGGGCTTGATTTGAAAAACACAAGTCAGTGTTGGACACAAATTAGGTATCAACAATCAAATGTATCCGCCTGTCTACAAATCATATCATCCTCTTTCCTAATATAGCTATCCCTTTCTTTCATTCCAAATTCTGAAAAGGGATTTGAGCTGTCCCCTCTGCCAGAGATGTGTTCCGGAGACTCTTATCTCCCTCACTAACTTTAAGCATCAGTTGTCAGAGCACCTTGCCGATCACTGGACCTGTACACAGCCCATCTGGATTTAGCCCACCCAACTACTTCATCCCTATATTGTTATTTATTTTGCTCATTTGCACCCCGGTATCTCTATTTGCACATCATCTCTTGAACATCTATCATTCCAGTGTTAATACTAATTGTAATTATTTTGCACTATAGCCTATTTATTGCCTTACCTCCATAACTTGCTACATTTGCACACACTGTATATATATTTTCTGTTGTATTTTTTGACTTTATGTTTTGTTTTACCCCATATGTAACTCTGTGTTGTTGTTTTTATCGCACTGCTTTGCTTTATCTTGGCCAGGTCGCAGTTGTAAATGAGAACTTGTTCTCAACTGGCTTACCTGGTTAAATAAAGGTGAAATTAAAAATAAATTAAAAAATGAAACGGGCATTTCCATTTTGTTGTTATGCTACTGTGTAAAGTTTGGGTTTCATGATTCAGATATTAAATCTGAAAGAGGAGTGGGCCATCTGAGTACAAACAACTATTAGTGAGATGACTACAATATTCCCATAATATTTTTTAAAAATCGGAACGCTGAAACACTCTTGTTTTTACTTAATTTATACAGTGTCTAATTACGTTATTGCCCTGGTTTCAACTTAAAAGGTTGTTCAGTAGGACAAAAACAGGAGAAGGTAAATGAGTGTTCTGAATAGATTATATCTAATAGGATAGAATAGTGTGTGGTGTGCATGTGTGTGTTATATATAGCCTGACCTCCATCACTGTACATTTTAACTTTTTTTCTTCCTGACCTGAGTAAGTGATTTCAGAAGAGGTTAAATTATAGACTCAAAGATGCAGTTTTAACCGTTTTTTCTCTGTGCACACGCGCATGTATGTGTGACAGAACATCATAGGTAGTTGAGAAGAGTGAGAGACCCTCTGAGGGGTATGGTGTTCTAATCCTCCTTGCACAACGTTCCCTTCCATCCATCTCTCTCTCTCAACCATCCATCTCTCTCATCATCACTACTCCGCTACACCCCAAACATTTCTCTCCATCCCCTTCCTCTCCTTCTCCTCTCAATAATATTATCTCCTTCTTTTCTCCTCCGGATCTCTCGTCCCCTATCCTCTCTCTTATGTATTTTCCCCCTCATCTCCTCCACAAAGAATACTAAAACCCTGTCAAAACATCTCCTCTTTCATATCACTTCTAAATCATATATATGTATACCTCATACCAACACTGAAACACACATAACACAAACACAATCCTTGTCCATCTCTATTTCACCCCTAACCCACTCCCTCCATCTCTCTCCCCTCTCCCTCCATCCCTCCATACTCCAGAGCCCTGTGTTCATGTCCATAATCCACATGGTTCTGTGCAGCGTGCTAACAGACAGGGCACAGTGATGTAACATCTGTCAACAGTACACACTGTGTTTGTGTGTGTGTGTTTATATATAGCTTAGTAACAAGGCCTTGGGCATTTGTCCATTTAGCATGAGAAAAGACTTGAGCCTCAGCACTGAGGCTGTCAAACACACGCACACACAGTCACAAATGAACGCAAATGAGCATTCACGCATAACCAGTGTGATTTGCTGCCACAGTCCATTCTGTGACTTACATCTTCCCCAGTGGCAACTGAAGGTACTACAAAAACATTCAACCCCCCCAAAAAATACAAAATACAATTCTGAATTTACCAAGACCCACCCATTTATTTTACCCACCCGCTCAGTGCAGAGGCAGAACTTTTCACCGGAAACACAAGTTATAGATTGTAAAAGTTATAGATTGTGATTGTTGTGTGCTTCTGTGTTGCTATAATAATATTGAAAGTGTTTGGGCAGGAGGAACATTTCCGTGCAGTAAGAGCATGTTTTTACGTAATAGTTCTGAGACAGCAGAATGCACTAAAGGTTTTATATAATAGTTCTTATTAAAGTTTCATGCATTAAGGTTTACATAACAGTACTGTGATGCATCTCCCCCGGTGGTACCCCCGATACAGGATGTCATAGCATAGCAACACAATGCAGTAGAACGCTGTCACACACTCCTAACAACAGAGCTAGGATCAGCTGACTAAACCCTCTATCCTAATCTTAACCAATAGATGGAGGACAACCTATCTGACCCCGAGTAAACAATGGATTACAAACAGAAACAGTAGGCGATCATAAACCTCTGATAGATCACACAGTCAAGATTCTGAGTTGAATATAAGGTTATAAACTGTTCATAACCACCATTGGCTTGGATCTCATCCATCCTCAGTAGGGGCCAGGATTTATGTCTACATTAACACAGTGATAAGCCCTGTGTGGGTCAGTCAATGGAAGATAAAATTGTGTTTATCTTCCATTGATGAATAGAAACTTGTTTACAGTTTCCCTCTTTTGAGTAAGACAAGGATCACCCGGATATAGACAACTGAGAAAGAAAATGCAGTAGAAACAGGAGAAATGGAGGGGAAGAAGGAGAAGTGAAGTGTGTGTTGTGTTGCCCCAGTGTCGCCCCCAGTCCCCTCACCTCTTTTGGTTCATCATGAGTTCTCGATGGAGGTCCTGGTGGTTTCTGGAGCCCTTGACTGGGTTCAACAGCTTCTTGGGTTTGATCAGCTCCTCACAGTCCCCCTCCAGATAGTCCGGCTCAGCCATCACACTCCTGCCCAGAGACAGAGACAGACCTGGGTCCACACACCGATCTGAGGGGATGCATTATGTTATTAGTTATTTATTATACATCTTGATTGATTTACTACTGTAATGGTTAACTACACAAGCACACACTCAAGCTCTCTCACACACACACACATTCTAAAATCACGCCTCACACTAGACACAATTACATGCAGCTGTTTTAAGACACTGTGTGTTTCTGTGCCCAGACATTAAGACCCCCACTACTGATGGCAGAGTCTTGAGTTACATAATCATTCCATTCCACCACAGGAATGTTCTATCCTCCATAAGGAGAACAATACTGCATACAGACAGACTGCTCTCACTGCAG